TGTATAATTTGACATTTTAATAATTGGCACTAATAATTGTATTAATTGAATAAAATTGGTACTGTTATAAGGAGGCTGCAATTGGAACAATATTGGAAAGTTGATTAATTTATTTATTTTTTAAAGAAATTAAAGTTTGCCTTGTAACCCAAAAAATGTCCCAAACCTTAAATGGAACCTCTCTCTGGTAGAAAGAGAGCAGAAATAAAGGGGAACATGATGGGCCTCAGACAAGCTGCATGGGCCTGATTCTACAGTATGACATATGTGAAGGAAATAAGCAGCTATCCTATCTTTAAAAGACATCTAAAGGCAGCCCTGTTCAGGGAAGTTTTTAATATTTAACTCTGTATTGTTTTTAACACTTGATTGGGAGCCGCCCAGAGTGGCTGGGGAAACTCAGCCAGATGGGCAGGGTATAAATTATTATTATTATTATTATTATTATTATTATTATTATTATTATTATTATTATTATCCCCATTGATTTCAGCAGTTAACTGGTGAGTGGACATCACTTTCTCTTTCTTTCTTTCTTTCTCTCTTTCTTCCTCTCTTTCCTTCTGTCTTGTGCTCTTGAAGTTCTGTTCCTGGAAAAGGAGAGAGAGGAAGAAGAGATGATGTCACAACAAGCGGGAGAGAGGTCTGGGAGTGACTGCCTCCATTATAAGAAAATGGGAACACCAGCCATTCACTCACCTACTCACATAACAAGCACTACAGGCAAAAATAGGTGGACCATTATACTGAAAACTAGGTAAGTTCTGGGGAGGAAACTAATAGAGAGAGCCCGGCGTGTGCCCCAAAAGTCACAGACACAGTACTGAGTGTCGCTCAGATAATCGTCTAATGATTTCGCATTTTTGCTCAGATTCCAGCATTCCTTACTTCCATTCCATCCAAGGGAGAGGAAGTGAGCAGTTATTTCTCAGGTTTCTAAACTGCAAGGGCAGCAACAACCCCGGTACTGTTGGCTCCTTGCTACATACGTTCTTCCCACTTTGAAATGTAAAAGGTGAAGGGCTGAGTTAGTTAAGACGACCACAGCATTCAACCAACCCAAGTCCTTGTAGGAAACCTCCCAAGATGCTACCTTGAAAAATCCTGTACAGTGGTACCTCGGGTTACACATGCATCAGGTTACATACGCTTCAGGTTACACACTCCACTAACCCAGAAATAGTGCTCCAGGTTGAGAACTTTGCTTCAGGATGAGAACAGAAATCATGCTCTGGCAGCGCAGCGGCAGCAGGAGGCTCCATTAGCTAAAGTGGTACCTCAGGTTAAGAACAGTTTCAGGTTAAGAACAGACCTCTGGAATGAATTAAGTACTTAACCTGAGGTACCACTGTATGTACACATTGATTCAAGCACTTACACATTTGCCAAAGATGATTGAAACCAATTTGTAAGAGTCAAGGACAATGAACTTACTCATGGGATGACAGTGAGCTCAGTGGGACCTCCGCGTAGGGTGTTCTGACCTGATACTGTCTGCCGTTCATTTCTCATGCTGTGAAATTGTGGAGAGGACCTTTCGGCAAGGGACCCACTTGCTTGGTTTTCCTGTGATAGTTGGCCTTTCTCCTGCTGCAGAGGCTGCTGCGTCACATTTTGATAATCCGTATTGTGAGTGGGAAGGTTCGCATACACAGCCCGATCTTGAAGTTCTTCTGAGGAAATTTCTGTATGACTTCTAGGTCCTGCTTCCCTGCCATCATCTCTCCTAACTTTGACATAAACATGGAATTGAAAATATATATAATGATGCCGCTTGCAAGAACAGTTGTCTCTTGCTGGGACTAACTGGCTACTAGAACATAAGAAGCGATTCTGTTATGCTGTAGGTGTGACTCTAAGACAAGACAAACAAGAACAAACAGCAGAAGTAGGCAAGAATAGGTGAATGCATGGATAGACATCTCAGTACGTACTGCTACAGTCCGCTTGTGTCTGACTCTCAGTTTTGTGCAGGGGAGGAACTTACTGTTAGCTACATGGCTGAGTATAGAAGTGCAAGAGTGTAGAAATATAAGCATGGTGTTACCAGACCTGTTTGTGTTCTCTGCACACCTGAATTTGTAACTTTTTTGCACATTCAAAGACTCTTACTTAGGGGGTGTCTACTGGAGTCAACTGCATGCCACAAATCTTAATGCAGTAGGGGGAAATTAATTTAGAATAACCATTTACACCTTGCTTTATTTAAGGGAATTAGCATTAAGCAACAAGATTCGGTGTGCTATAACTTGCTTGTTAAAGGGAATTAAGAGAAATGAAAAACATCAGTAACCATGGTTGTTTGTTCACACAGAACAGTGGACAAAGAGTAAGAAGTATTCAAGTACCAGTGCAGGATAATCAAGAGACAAGTTACCATATTTTTCGCTCCATAAGACACACCTGACCATAAGACGCACTTAGTTTTTAGAAGGGGAATGCAAGGGGGAAAATATTATTTAAAGGGAGCGCTGAGCAGAGCCTGTATGAATCCCAGGCTCTGCTCAGTGCTCCCTTTTACGAGCCGCGCGGAGCGTGGCTCTTGCGGGCTTTTCCTGGAGGTGAAGGCTCCCCGTGCTGTGAAGAGGCTTCACGTGGCTAAGCCAGAAGCTAGAACAGCAAGAGGGAGCACTGCGCAGTGATCCCTCTCACTGTTCTGGCTTCTGGGATAGCCGCGCAGCCTGCATTCGCTCCATAAGATGCACACACATTTCCCCTTACTTTTTAGGAGGGAAAAAGTGTGTCTTATAGAGTGAAAAATACGGTACTTAGTGCCCCCCATCACCACATCAAGCACATCTTGCTATCTGATGTTCACCTTTGGAGGCAAGTCCTGGCAACAGTACAATAGCAGAGGCCTTATCAGCTTTGATATTCAGGTCTAAGATTGGTGGGTCAGTATTGGTGAGTCAACTTTGTCCCTCCTGAGCCCCAATAAATGGTGCACAGTCAACTCTGATGTTTTGAGTATCTTTATCAGGCTTCCTGAACCTCGGCCCTCCAGATGTTTTTGGCCTACAAGTCCCATGATCCCTAGCTAGCAGGACCAGTGGTCAGGGATGATGGGAATTGTAGTCTCAAAACATCTGGAGGGCCAAAGTTGAGGAAGCCTGATCTTTATCATTCAATTTGTTAAAGTTGTATCATGAACAGAAGCCCTGTCCCCAACAATGCTACTTACGGTCCGTATTTTCCACCCTGTTAGATCTCGATACTATGAAGGTGTGTTCACCACTAACCAAGAGAGGCAAAGAAAAACTTATTACAAAGGATCATCTGGACACCCAGTACTTACAGTCTTTATTCACTCACTAATCCCTTCACTCTAAACCAGAAAACATTTTCCGACTTTAAGAAAACGTAGTTATTCAGGCTCCCAAGCACACGCCATCAACACAATTCAGCCTGCTCATTTCCAAAGGAAACCAAAATACCCTAGATCCCAGTATTTCCTATTCTCACTTCCCCAAGCTAACCTACCAACCTCAGTCCTGGAGAATCTGGAGGTTGTTGCTCACATTTCACAAGCCACACTTAACATAGCATTTGATGCAAAGTATAAGGGAACTTGGGACGTGGGTGGTGCTTTGGCCTAAACCACAGAGCCTAGGGCTTGCCGATCAGAAGGTCAGCAGTTCGAATCCCCACAATGGGGTGAGCTCCCGTTGCTCGGTCCCTGCTGCTGCCAACCTAGCAATTCGAAAGCATGTCAAAGTGCAAGTAGATAAATAGGTACAGTGGTGCCTCGCAAGACGAAATTAATTCGTTCCGTGAGTTTTGTCGTCTTGCGATTTTTTTCGTCTTGCGAAGCACGGTGTCGGGAAAGTTTTGGAAAAGCTTCAAAAATCACCAAAGTCTTTAAAAACCTCAAAAAAGGCTACCACACCGCGTGATATGAGTTGCTCCTCGAAGTCAAGTCGCAACTGTATTAACGGTGTTAAGAAAAAGGAAACAAACTTGCAAGACGTTTCCGTCTTGCAAAGCAAGCCCATAGGGAAAATCGTCTTGCGAAGCAGCTCAAAAAACAAAAGACCCTTTCGTCTAGCGAGTTTTTTGTCTTGCGAGGCATTCGTCTTGCGAGGTACCACTGTACCACTCTGGTGGGAAGGTAAACGGCATTTCCGTGCACTGCTCTGGTTTGCCAGAAGCGGCTTAGTCATGCTGGCCACATGACCCGGAAGCTGTCTGCGGACAAACGCTGGCTCCCTCGGCCAGTAAAGCGAGATGAGCACCGCACCCCAGAGTCGGCCACGACTGAACTTAATGGTCAGGGGTCCCTTTACCTTTACCTATAAGGGAACTCAGGAGGCCCCACTCTCCACCTAGACCCCAGCAGGAAACCTCTGCACTCAAGTATTGTACCTCCCTATGTGTCATTCAGATGGAGTGCAAATAATAGCAATTGTTCTGCATTCTGAAAACTCTTTCTCTCGCAAGCTCAGAACAACATTCCAGCATCCTTCAATCCAGTGCAGTGTAAGAGGAACAATTGAGATCCCTTACCTGTTTTGTCTTACTACTGTAAAAGAAGAAGAAGACAAATCAATTGGAAGATGGTGCTCTCTCAAACCCATAAATAACCAAAACAACCTATCTCAATTCAGAATGTGCTAGGTGTTTCCTTTTTCCGACAATTCATGGGAGGCACCTAGAATTTATTTTAAGAGTTTTGCAAAAAGAAATTGAGCACAGGGACTATTTTCCACCAGTTTCTCTCTTCCTCTTTCCCCACCCCAACACTTTCCCAAACTTACTAGGTCAGGGATGAGAAACCTGTGGCCCTCCTGATACTCCTTTTGTACTTTATCAGCCCCAGCGGACATAATCAGTAGTCAGGGATAAGTTTAGTCCACAGTATCTGGAGGGCTGCAGCTTTCCTATCCCGGCAAATAGATGGATAGGATGAAGGACTAGGCAAGATATCACTAGGAACCTCAGACCACCCGGAGAATTTATGGCCAAGAGCTTTTAAATCCCCTTCTCGCCTGGGTCATACTTACATGCTCCTATTTTGTAACAAAGAAAGGCCCCAGCTGACAGAAAGAGAAAGAGCAGAACCAGATATGTTACCGAGAGATCTGGACTGATTGGAGCATCATCTGTTAAAAAAAAAAAAGCAGTTAAAGAAGAGGGAAGAGGCTGCATCCTTGAGAACCTCCCACTCAAGCCTCCACCACCATCACATTCAGAGATTGCTCTGAGCTGCTGGAGGACCCTTGGGCAAGAGGACCACAAGTGAGCTCACTTGCGGAAGGGATCTATCTCCTCCTTGCTTGCAGCCCCTCTGCCCATTCACATGCCTTTCCACTCTTGACCCAGCTGACACAGACACCCAGAGGGGAAACAGAAGGCAGCTTAAGGCAGCTGCTCCCTCTAATCGCTCTTGGCACTGCTTGCATGCTCAGAGAAGGAAGGTGAACCATACAGTGACAAGATGAGGCTCCAGGACAGGAGGCTCCAGGAGCTGTCGGTGTCGTGGAAATTCTACTCAATATTGATCCAGAATAGATTCCAATGTATAGTTAGCAGAGTAAAAACCTAAGCACATTGCAGGATCCCCCCCCCCAAAAAAAGACCAGAGACAATTATATTTCATCCAGCAGAGCTTTACTGCTACTGAAGGCAAATGAGCATAATGGTTACAAATCCAACACATTCAGGACTGGCACTGTCCATAAGCAATCCAGTTGCAACAGACTTAAATTTGGAATAACTTATAATAAGTCTAAACCTTAACACTAAGCATATTAAGTAAAGAACATCACACCAGAAGGAGAAGAAAGAGAAGAAAGAGAAAGTGTGAAACTCAGGCTCCTTCTGGCCCATTATTACAGTCAGCATGACCTTGACAGAAGAGATAACAGAACCAGTTTAAACCAGCTGTACTCAGCTTCTCTGAAGGAATAACCTAGACACCATGAACCTTCTGCTTGCTTCTTTAACACAGCTTCCAGAACCCTCTTGAATTAAGTAGAATAGGAAATATCTCTGCACTTCCACACTTTTTGTACTACGAAATACAAACTGGCAGTCAATGGGTCCTCTGCAGAGGTGTGGGCCTCAGCATGTGCCCAGCAATGCCTAACTCTAATGCCAGCCCTGACTGGCACAGTCAACTGTAAAGGAAGATGGAAATTGTTGTCCAACAATTTCTGGATAGCCAAGATTGGGGGGGGGGGTGCTGATTGAGAGAGATCTAGTGGCATGGGGCTTTCTCAGTACACCACTATGCATAAAGTATAGTGTTTGAATGTATTGTATTTAAAATGCTATGCAGAGAGATTGGCATTAGGTTTCACTCTAGCAAACACAGCAGAAAAGGCTAGATGTTTCAGTTTCTGTCTTTAAGCTAACATTGCTGGAAACCCAAGAGGTCTCACAGAAGGCAAAGCCTGAGAACTCAGCTTCTTTGTCTGTGATGGATCAGCAAAAACAACAATAGTGGCTAAGTTCCATGAAGATGGAAGAAGAAAGTTGCTTAGGATCTCTCTCACACACGCACAGCAGAGAGAGGAAAGTTTATTGACCTGTATTAAGGATTTACAGACGAGGCTGCATTGTTTGCATGTTTCAGAGCAATGTGTTCCTTTGTATCTTGCAATGTCTGTTTGTAACTATTTTATTTGTACTTACTTATTTGCAACTATTTGTAACTATTTTTCCTGGAAAGTTTTGAAATTCATTCTTCTGTTTGAGAGCAAATTCATTTCTACTCTATGCAAGGTCCAGATCAGGGATTTCGCTTGCAGCAACTTTAATATAATGCAAGACATGCCTGCTTTTTGGTTAAAAACCAAAACCCCCCCAAAAAAACCCAAGCAAAGTGCAGTGGTACCTCTGGTTACACACTTAATTCATTCCGGAGGTCCATTCTTAACCTGAAACCGTTCTTAACCTGAGGTACCACTTCAGCTAATGGGGCCTCCCGCTGCCGCAGCACGATTTCTGTTCTCATCCTGAGGTAAGTTCTTAACCCGAGGTACTACTTCTGGATTAGCAGAGTCTGTAACCTGAAGTTTTGTAACCCAATGTGTTTGTAACCCGAGGTACCACTGTAGTGAGAAGGAGAAAAACAGTAAAATAAATACTGTACCTGATACCGAAAGCTCCACCCAATTGCTGCATTTTGACACCAGAAATGGACTTCTTGATTGTGCCCAGCTGCAGCAATAGTTTCCTTTGTCCTCCAAAGTAATTTTCCTGAGGTAAAATTCGGTCACATGTGCATTGGAATCCTGGACCATTTTTGTTGACTCTCCAGCCTTATGGAGATAGACCAAGGCATGTGTCTCTGGAAAGGCACACGTGATTGTGATATTTTCCCCAACCTTCAAAGGCCTCGTTGGTGAGATGGAGATGGTAGGTCTGTGTAACTGTGGATCTGGGCAGAGAAGAAACAGAAAGTGAGGTGCCAACCACTGTAGGTCTGGGTCTTGTCCTCTTCCACATGGCAGGGACCTGCACTAGGGGTTTAGCTTCTTTGCTGTGAAGCAGGGATTAGGCACCGGTGGGCCTCCAGGTACTGTTAGACGCCCAATGCTCATCAGTTCCCGTCAGCATGGCCAGCAGTCGGAGATGGTGGGAGTCATAGTTCAATCATACTTGGAGGCCAGCAGGGGCTCCTGAATCCCTGCAGTTAAGCCAAATCTCTGTTAAAACGAAGATGGGCTTTAAACATTGAACTGAACTGAACTATAACATGGAGGATTTCAACTCTGAAAGTTTGAAATGGTTCGAGGAGAAGCAGCTCAGCACACAAGAAAAAAAATGCTTAGGATGCTGATGGAGATTTCACAAAAAGCCTTCAACAAGTGGGCTCTGCCAGTGGCTGTAGAACAAGCAGGGGGGGGTGCTTAGCACCACAAGAGAAGAAGAAGAAAACCTCTCCCCCTTCTCTCTGCCTCTCCCTGAAAGTCTCCCTCACAGATTCTGGCCAGCTAACTTAACTTAACTTAAGAGCAAGTGATAAGGAGCTATACCCTATATTCAGTTCTGACAAAGTATCCAAATGTCAATAATATCCATCTTTATTTAGGAGCCTATGCCCCCACTTCTGAAAGAATTTTTTTATAAAAGCATTCACAAAGTGGCCTATACAGTTCTTATTGTGGAAGCCTGTCTATTTCAAGAATAACTGTGTTTGTGAAAAAATTTGCCAAGTCTGGGAATATTTATTTGCCTCGAACCTGGTGGCAGATCAGCCCATTTACCACAACTCTGTGCGCTGGACTGGTGTCTACTTGAGAAAGACCGTTCAGAACCAGACTTATTGCTGGCTAAACTGGCCTGGTTCCGGCATAGGGAAAACAAGTCTTAGGAATAGTGTTTGAGCTACAACACCATATGTGATGTCCTAACTAATGCTAGGTGGCTAGGTCACAGATCCAAACTGAATGGATCCCCCCTCTGTGATTGGGGCCACAGCATGTGAGGGAGTCATTCATCCAGAAAGAGGGAGGAGATTCCAGAACAGTCATATATAAGTGGGTGTGGCACTCTGAACATGCGCAGCTTCAGCTGGAAGTGCCAATAAAAGTAGAACTCTTGTTGTCGCTTTTTGTAGAGGGTTGACCAACAAATGCTGTCTGCAAACTGCTACGTCATGGCTGCCGATAGACATTGTTGCTAAAAAGAAAGAGGGACTGAAACTTAAGTATGCCGTAGCGGCTAATGCTATAATGATTGTAAATAGTGCTACTGTGATGTGTTTATGACCAGCCAGGTAATAAATCACTTGACTGAGTTTTACAGCATCTGTGAGTGTTTCATCTCAAAGTGTAACTTCAGTTGCTGACCACTGCTTCCTGAAACTCTGCTTTGGACTGATTGGAGGTGCCTACACACAAGTATTCTCACACAGCGAAAGTGTGATGGACCTTTAATACAGCAGTCTCCCAGAACATCCCTTTTTCGGAAATTATGCCAGTTTAAAATCCACCAAGTTCACCTCGGCCTCCTGGCTGAGGTGGGTTGGGGAAGATACATAGGCATATCTGTAACTGAGATGAGGATGTGAAGAAATGCCTGCATAGGCTAGCTTCTTGGGAACTTCCAGGCTCAGTCAGAGAGCTACTGGATCCTAACCCTGCTCATCCAAATGATTTTCAGGTTGGTTCCTGGAAAGGTTAGCAGGGGCACTGGAAAGAAAAAATAAAGATGGCTGCCCAAATAGGTACATAGGGGCACCTGTTCCTTCCCCCTACATATATCCATTATGGGCCGATAAGTCATAATGTAGTGCCACGCCCAGGGGCTCTTTACTCAAACATTTTGATAAAGAGCCAGAAGCACCGTACTTTCTAGCTGCTTCACACAAAATAATTTTCTTTTCATTCATAATAATTGTTGTAATGGCTCATGCATTCATCAGCCAGAATTATCTTCCATGAAAATGTCTGCAGTCCCAAGAAAATTACAACTCAGCCATGATCATTGCCCTCAGCCCAACTTTTCTGGGAAGTTTTTCTTGTTTCCTTTTGTTACTGTACTCCAGCCCAAAGACTCCACAACACTCGGTTTATGCAACATGATCCCTCTGAAACTCGGCAGGTGTCCCCTCTCTCTCTTTCTCTCACACAGCAAGTTAGGAGTATGTAAATTATTCCTCATTTCCTCCAATGCAGAACTGGCTCCTCAAACACACACACACACACACACACACACACACACAAACACCCCACTGATCGCTCCCTACAGTTGTCCTCTCCAAAGAGCTCCCCAGTTATATTCTAAAAACCAAGCAAACTCTCCAGCTAAACTCCAAAACTTAAGGCTTGCGGTTGAGATGAGTGCATGTGGAATTAGCCTCTTTACCTGTTAACAACAACTTCACAGGGTTACTTGGCTCAGACAGGAGATATGGTTGCCTCACTGAGGTGTAACTGCAGCTGTATCTTCCTGCATCCTTATTGCTCACATCACTGATGGTGAACATGTTCATGTCACTGTGTATTGACCAATCATGAAAGTTATCCTTTTGCAGATAAAACCTTTTCACTTCTCCTTGAGTTCCACAAAGCATAGTTACTCTCTGTCCAGTGGTGATTTCTTTCATAGTTTCCAGAGAGAGGACTGGTTTGGGGAAGCTGGGATCTGAGTAAAGAAATACAACAGACATTGAAGGCCCTTAAGAAGGAAGGTTTGCAGCCAAGATGGCACTGCTTCCAGACATGTTCAAATTCTGCCTTGGGCTTCTTTAGGATGATGGATGGGATATAAATTGAAAGAAAGAATTAATAGTAATGAATAAATCCCAACATCTCGCTTTTTGGAAATTAAGTTTTGCCAGGATACCCTGTTTCCCTTCTACGGAAAATAGTTGCCTTGATCCCATTTGCAAACAAAACCCACAAGATGCAAACCAGTGTTGTACTCTAGCTTGCCTGAGATGATGATGAAGAAGAAGTAGAAGAAGAAGAAGTACTACAAATTTCATAGGGGTTGAATTAAGAACTCTTAGAATATACTCCCCTGAATGTTATTTGTGATTTAGCTCCCATGTCCTTTAATCTTGCACTCAGCGCCTGTCCACCAATGAGGAAGGCTGAGGCAGCTGAAACCCCAAGAAGCAGCCCTCGCAGGGGCACCCTCCCACTGGTAGAGAAGTGGTGGTGATCTAGCAAGATCTCACCAAAATCTTGCAAGATCTGTGCGCTCTGTGACTTCTTGCAAATGCTCTCAAGAGCTCAATGGAACCCGCTGTCATCATTGCTGATTCACAGACCCGGCCACACAACCCATGGAAGGGAGGCTTCAGGGTAGCTTCGGCAAGAGAGTGCCACCTTTCCATTTTGCCTCAGGCGGTGAAACGAGGTAGGCTGCCTCTACCTGCGTTAATGGGTGAGACATCACTCATCTGAACACTATTCGTGGCGAAGCTCCAATGTCCTTTAATCTTGCATTAATGGGATTGGTTGTGCTCAGCTACACAGGATCATCATTATTGGAGCAGGAGCGGGATGGATGCACTTTTGCAAGAAGAAGAAGAAGAAGAAGAAGAAGAAGAAGAAGAAGAAGAAGAAGAAGAAGAAGGAGGAGGAGGAGGAGGAGGAGGAGGAGGAGGAGGAGGAGGAGGAGGAGGAGGGAGGAGAGGGAGAAGGAGGATTTTGGACTTGATATCCCACCTTTCACTCCTCTTAAGGAGTCTCAAAGTGGTTAACAATCTCCTTTCCCTTCCTTCCCCACAACGAACACTCTGTGAGGTGAGTGGGGCTGAGAGACTTCAGAGAAGTGTGACTAGCCCAAGGTCACCCAACAGCTGCATGTGGAGGAGCGGGGAAGCGAACCCAGCTCACCACATTACAAGTCCACTGCTCTTAACCACTATACCACACTGGCTCTCCACAATTTGAGATGTTTTAATGGTACAGTAACACCTGAACCTAATACTATATGATCCATTGTTCCCTTTGTGCAACTCATCAAAGCAGGGTCAGGAACTAGTGAACGGCCTCAGGATGCTCTTCTGGGATGTTGAGCAAGGTCTCTTACCTCTTATCAGCAGCTCAAATGGATCTGTGACTTGCCTGATCCCACCAAAATTGTACAAGCATTTGTAGATCCCTGCATCCGTTGTGCTCCTAATAGTGATTTGGAAAATAACGTGTTGTCCAAAATGATCTCTGGAGAAGCCTATGGCCCTTCCATCTTTCTCCAAAGAGACATATGTTACCAAATGACGTATGGTGCATGTGATGGTGACATTGTCTCCAAGTGAGGCTGCCAACGTAGAATACACAGAGCTGCAGGAATCAGGATGGATCACAGTGGATTAACAAGGAAACAAAAAGAAAATCATGTGTAGACAAGTGGGGAAAGACATTGCAGGTGATATCAAAGCTGAAACCATTTAACATCATAAATGGCCAAACAGTTTTTTCAGAATATCTGTATTTCTATTTAGGTTTTTAAAAATGAAAAATATATTTCATGTTATTTGTTTAATTTCGACACATGCCCTGGCTGTTCCCCTCAAGAGCTTTTGTCAGCCTCTATCTGGCTCCCAGGAAGTCTTATAATCATCACCCATCTTACAGCAAACTCAAGTGGTGAGTGCTGACAGAAATGGAGCTAAAATGGGACCAATGAGAAACAAATGGTATATATCAGCACATTAGAGGAACCCCTGGGGTTTGGAGATGTATAACTTTAAAACCTTGGTGGAAAAGTCCCCTGGAGACTGAGCATATTCAAAAAGAAAATTTGGATGAGGATAAATGGTGCATTCTAGAATAAGGTATGGCTGGCAAGTAGAAGCAATCATTGTATACAGCTGTTCACCCTGACTTTTGACCCTTGAGATATCTATATTTTACGACCCACATTGTTTTAGTAATTTTAACTTGTTTAAAACTGTTTTTAATGTGTTTTGATGGTTGCAGCCCTCCTTGGGAACTTTCAGAACCCAGCTGGGGGAACTACCCTTCCATTGACCCAGAAGCAAAGTTCTAAATCAGAAAGGAAAAAGGGCTCCCACTGACTGCATGAGGCACTCGACACATTAAATCAAAATATGGCTCTTCACAGGCCATCACTCGGCATTAAAGCACTTTAACCAAGAAGCAAGCCGGACAAACATACAATGACCCCTCCAAAAAATATTGAATTCTAGAGTCACCTGCACTGTTTTTAATGGTTTGTTTGTGTTCTGATTATTTTAAATTATTATTTAAAAAATAAACAGAAAACTGTCTTTCAAAATTCTGTTTGCTGTTAAGCTATCACAAGTAAAAGATTAAATCCTGGGACCTTGAGATAATATCTACGATATTGGCCCAAATATAAGCCGCTCCCTTAAAATTCCGCAGGCACTCACACCTGCTCTGTTTTACCATATGTCTGTTTCAGCAGCGATATCGTAAAAGCCCATTTTTGCAAGGTCGCGAATTTCAGCTGCACTTTAAATTTTCAGAGTCGGAATCTGGGCGGGGGGGAGTGTGACTTATATTCGGGTCAATACGGTAAGTAGGCTGGACTCTAAAATAAATCTGCTTACCTGAAAGGGTCAGGGGCCTTGGTGCACAACTAAGTTAACCACTATCCTTATCCCAAACTCTGCTTTTGCATTACCCTTGAACCTTGCCTTCAAACACAATTTAGGTAAAGAGAATGCAAGCAAAATTAAACCCTCCTTTGCACTGATTTTGTTGTTGTTGTTTAGTCGTGTCTGACTCTTCGTGACCCCATGGACCAGAGCATGCCAGGCACTCCTGTCTTTCACTGCCTCCTGCAGTTTGGTCAAACTCATGTTGGTACCTTCGAGAACACTGTCCAACCATCTCGTCCTCTGTTGTCCCCTTCTCCTTGTGCCCTCCATCTTTCCCAACATCAGGGTCTTTTCCAGGGAGTCTTCTCTTCTCATGAGGTGGCCAAAGTATTGGAATCTCAGCTTCACGATCTGCCCTTCCAGTGAGCACTCAGGGCTGATTTCCTTAAGAATGGAGAGGTTTGATTTTCTTGCAGTCCATGGGACTCTCAAGAGTCTCCTCCAGCACCATAATTCAAAAGCATCAATTCTTCAGTGATCAGCCTTCTTTATGGTCCAGCTCTCACTTCCATACATCACTACTCTGAAAACCATAGCTTTAACTATTCGGACCTTTGTTGGCAAGGTGATGTCTTTGCTTTTTAAGATGCTGTTGACCCCTTTTCACATCATGAGAAGTGACTTACCCTCCATTTAGCAGTTGGCACAGCAACATCATGACAAGCGTGTGGGGGAGATGGCAGCTTCTCAACCAACAAAATGGCTACATTGCAAAGCAGCTTTCACTGTGTCAACGGTTACATACTAAATGATGGGTATCCCATATCTCACAGTCGCAGTGTGAAACGGGGTTGTATGAATCAAAGCGTCCACTCCACTGTGGAAGATCTGGTATGTTTAAATGGCAACATTCACTAATACCTCTCCACTATGACATATTCTTACCTTTCATATCCATTTCCTCCTGAAGCAGGAAGCAGCCTGAAAAAATAAAAAGCCATTAGAAAACAGGACTCACAACAAGAAGATTCCTGCTGGACCACAGCACCCACTTCTCCTAAAGGCTCTCCCCACACATATATACAAACAATCAGGGCTTGACTGAGACCAGGCTGTGGAAGATATTTTCATAGTCTAGGTTCTTCACCTGAAATCCACGTGAAATAGAATTTGTGAGCCCCCGAGCATGTGAAGAGTCCACAGTCCCATTCTCTTCATCAATAAGCAATGGCCTATATTGTCCATCCAAATTGGATTAATATAGAGTTGAGGATTTGCAGGGCAAATGGCGTAATTTATAGGCACAACCCTTCATTTCAGATAGTAACCCTGCCTCTCTCACACACACAGTTGTGTTGGTAAATTCCCTTGTTTCTAACTCCCTTGAACCAACTGTCTTGGCCTTTCTGATTCTCACCAATAGAAGAGGACGAAGAATGCAAGCATTGTAGCAGATCGCTATTAGCGTCCATAAGATCTCATTTCACCTCCGCCGTCCTCAACCCTCAAGATGTTGTTGTTTTCTGTGGGCCCACAGTTGCATCTGAAGCTACAGGAAATGGATGATAACATCATCTCCAGTGGGCCCAAGAAGTCAGAGGCTCTCAGAGGCTCTCAATCAGCGGAAAAGATATTGGGTGGTTAGGTATTGCTTCACATACAAAGGAAACCATCCACATGCCAGGGATGTACAATATTGCTCTGTGTTCTTATGGGCCTTTAGGAATTCCACAGTATACTCAAATTCACTTCGGAGGAGGAGGAGAAAGTGGACTGTGGGACAAGAGGAAGTGTGGATTACCCCAAATCTGACCCGCTCCCTGCAGTGGACCAAATCTGTATCCTCCTGGAACACTTATTAAAATATCACACATTTGCAGCTGTTCCACAGCAGGCAGGTCAAAGTGGTTGTGGTGTTCCATAAAGTGGTCCCATAAAGTTAGACAGAGATTTGA